GGGAACCGCTTCCTCATTAAAGATTGTGTACGTGCAACCATTTGTATGCATTCGCCTAACATGGACAAAGACATTTATTTCATTTGGTTAGTGGCACGAAACCACCTCACCAACGCTTAGAGCGAGTTGCATCTCCACTTAATCATGTTGTTCTGTTCAAGCCTTGTAATTCATGTACCTTTTAACTATGCCGCCCGGGCGCCAATACGCGCGATACAGCCGACCACATAGTTAAAGCCCAACACGAGCAAAAAGACCTCTACCAAAAGTAAAAAAACATATATATATATATTAATATATTCAATATATATATATATTTCTAGAATATATTCTTTAATATTTTTTATATTCAGATTATAATCCATTTAATTTCCGTTTCTTGGAATCGTATTCCTAGTATGAAGCAAAATAGGAAGAATTAGGAATAATAAGATTAAATTCATTGAATTATTGGGCCTTCCCAATCGAACACAAACCCAGCCTTCGCGCAGGCCAACCTCGGAGTCAAGGGCTTGAAGCCATGCGATCCCAAAACACTCGACGACATCCGGTCCCCAGCCGGTGACATGGATCAACAACTTTGCAAAAAAGAAAACATGCTAAACTGATCTAAAATTGTCTTTCTCCTTGAGGTGCATTTAATCTCTGGGATGGAGAGGTAGTCGCTTCCATCCCACAGAAATGTTGCATTATTCTTTGTCGGCCTAAGCAAAACAACCAGGAGAAATCATTGACCCGAATCTCAGGTCCTATCGCCACCTAGATGGTTAGATGGTCTGAAAACTCGCATTGCAAAACCATCTGGGCAGTCATGGACATGTGTGCCCGTTAAACTTTAGATTTATGGTGCCTAGAACGGGGCCGGCTTGACCAAGTGACATTTTCTCAAATGCAGTCATCAGGCGTTCTTTCTCAGGATGGAATGCCTCAGATCCGTTCACACTGACACCTTCGACACACCACGCCCAGGATCACACAAACACATGAATGCATTGTAAACACTCTGAAACATACCCTCCAAACAGCTACCAACACGTTGCACTCAACTGTTGCAAGAAAGCGATGGCCTCCAACCTAATAGCGATGGCCTGATCTCCCAACACGTTGCGACGAGCTGTTTCGACGAGCCAAGCATCCGATGAGATCGCCTGACGCTGGATGTCAATGACGTCTGCTCGTGAGAGTCCAAAGGCCTTCCAAAATGTACGCAGGCAAGGATCAAAGGGATGTCACACTTGTGGGCAACCAGGGGTCGCACGTATTCTGATCAAACGAGCCCTTTTGTGTGTTGGGAGCTGGGCCAAACGGAATGTTGATCTCGCATGAATTTGGTCACTCGATATCTCTTTGGAGTCACTTAGTCCTTGCGCCTGGGCCAAATCGTAGACTTCCGAGGACAAATCACAGGAAAAAAAGGCCTAACACACCGGCGCTGAGTGTCGGAACCATGAGCAACTGTGCTGGGAGGCTGATCTGATTGCGATCACTGAGTGCCGTTCCAGTGTCGTCGGTGTTGATGCCTAAGCATGCGGGCCATGTGCAATTTGAGGTGTCCATGTTGAGCAACCTGCAGCCCGAAATGAACTCTCAATAGAAGACATAGAAGATACAAAATAAAACATGCCAGCCAAGTCTCTGAGAAGGACCTTGTCAGATTTCTTCCACCAATCCAGGAAGTGGTGTTCCTTCAAGCCTCAGGCAGCTCCAGGAACAAAATATAAAACCCGTGTCGTGCCTTGAAACCTTCCAAGAACATTTAAAACCAGTCCCTAGCAACTTGGATGCAACTTGGGTCAACGGCCAACTCTTGCCGACAGGAAGCTTGATATTTCTTTGGTGACCATGTTCGATGTGGGACACACTTCCTTGGTGAATGCCAACTGGGATTTGGCTTCAATGCATCAAGCACTAAAGCCAGCTCTTCATGGACAACCCATCTACAAAATAGCATGGTAACATCTGTATCTTTCTACGATATTGCCTATTGCTGTATATCAGTGTCGGTGTCTGGCTGTTTGAAAACACCACAACGGGCCGATCTCACGGCGAACGCGAATCTGTCGTTCCGAATCCTGGATTTACTCAGTGAGTCCCACCGAGCACCGAAGTGCAAAGAAGGATCCACACCAACACCACCGTCTTCGTAGATTCCATCGAGCACTCTTTGGCGCAAAAAGGATGGTAGGTGGGTCACATGACCCAATCGCCTTTGGAGCTGCGCTGCGCGTCAATTGTTGGCTGCTCTTCCTATTCTCAGCTCATACAACCACATGATGCAAAAATAACGAGAAAAGGACCAGCTTCGGGTCTGCCAAGCAATGCAAGTGTTATTGAAAGCTTACATTCTTGGACCCTCCATGTTATGGTGCGTGCCCCTCTGCCACTGCCACTCGCCTGATGTTCAGGTCTCGCATGCCTTAGCTTCCCACGTGTGAGCTGGAAACTCTGGAGGCATCTTCCGGAGTGTTGTGACAAGCGACTGTCAATGATCAGCTTGCTCTCTTCCTGAGTGAAGCTCACGCACCAAAGGATGCTTCCCAAAATGGTACCAAGTTGTGCAACATGCTTGCCTGACAGTTGAGTCTTCAACAAATCAAAAACTTGTTGTTGTTTTACGTCCAGCTGTTATGAACACAAAACGGGCTACCTTGCTTGCTGCGACAGATTGGACAGTCCCGACTCTCCCGACATAATCATTTGGCTGTAAGCTGATAGCCTTATCACAGCTCTGATGCCAGAAGCATCTACCTAAGCAAAACCAAAAGAAATAACGTTAGCGTCAAACACTATCACTATCTACACTAGCTGGCAAAGCTTCATCATCCACAATCTCGGAGGTGTGGAATGTGATGGGAAGCTTCTGGAACTCGTTTTTGCGCTCCTCAGTCTTTTATCTTAGCGGCTGCAGCTGGCAGGGAAAGAAGGAGGGAATGGCTTACAATACAATTCTTTTGAGCATGGCAGCCCGTCTAACACTACAGTGATGCGATACAACAATTCGCTCCCTGCAAAGAAAGAGTGCCCGGCGCAAAAGGTTGCATAAACTCGTGTGAACATGATTTAAAGCATGTCAAAACATGTGATATTTACGCGAGCCACAAGCATGCAAGTTTGGACATAGGACATTCTTGCTAAACCCAATCCGTTGGTGATGTGTTGGATGTTTGTATATAGTCTCCCACGCATCTCGCCTGCAAGGCTGGCAGCAAGTGAGGCACGACTGTGGGCTGGTGTGGGTCTCCACACACATCGACGCCCACGACCAAGTCTGCATGCTCCTGGTCAGGTGTACATGCCTCCTAACTCCTAACGGACAAATAATGACAAAACTTGCTCAGGTTGGAACTCTAGGGGTTCCAGTTCCATTTTGCAATCTCCTCAGAAAAACATTCATAGGACCTAGAAATGTTGACAGTCCAAGGCCCTTGGGGTGCAAAGCAGTTGCTCGCTTCACAGGATCGTCTCTGGTCTCAATGAGTCTAGAGTCTAGAAGACAACTGCAAAGCATGTAGATCCTTCAAATTTGTGCTGCACATCATAGCGCTTCTTGAGTTCTACTCCTCTGCAAACATCAGCAATATATACGACGTGATGTAAGGCCGGCCGCCGCATGAGGCGATGCAAGGCAGCCAGGACACACGCCAGTACAAACAGCACAATGGATTTGTACAAACAGCATCCGGCCTTTTGTAGCTTCAACACGTCATCGATCTGTGCCTAGGATGTCAACAATCAAACCACAAGCACCTCGGCCTCCCACTTCCTCACACCTCTCACAGTGCCAGGGCAAACAACTTAATTATAACTCATTAAGGTTCCCAAGAAGAAAACATCCGCCAAAGAAAGATTCAACACGTGCAGTTGCAACGTCATGTCAACTAAACGGGCACAATAAACACACTGCCAACTCCACTCCAGCATCCCATCAGTTCAATCTATCCCTGCCACAACACTGCTTGGAAAACTCATAGCTACTACGAGTACGTCCACTTCCCATCTCAATCTGTTCCACTAATTACATCTTCACACGTGGTCCCAGTCGAGCAGTCCCCATTTTCCATCTCCTCTCGGACTTCGAGCATACTCCATCCGAGCGGCCAAGGCTGAGTCCTTGGACGTCACCTTTCCACGGTCCACACTAAGAAGCACCTTCACCTCAGTTTCCCGCGGCCTCGTCACCGTTGACTCGTCCAAAACCATCCACGGATCCTTATGATCCTGGGGTGCTGGGGACATTCCTGTAGACTAATCATCTGCCCATAAATCATCGAGCCAGCAATGTTTCTGAAAAACGATTGAAACATCCTCTTTGGTGCTTGTGGCTTTACAACTCAGGAAACACGAACTTCCAGGGTTTGGGCCATTTGGGTAGCATTCTGATGGCGTTAGAAGGGGATTACTAGGTCTACAGTGTTTTTGGCGGCAGGAGCCCGTGCAAGTTTGATCTCTTCGTGCCCATTGGTTGTGATGTGAGAGACGAGTCAGCTGGTGCGGTAGGTCCGTAGCACGATTCGGCACAAAGAGCTCGGACGACCCACGGCCCAATTCTTGCCAACCCTCAACAGGGGTGGTCATAGATGGTCTTAGCTTATCTTCATAGATGGTCTTAGCTCTCTTTTTATCGGAAAGCTCTGGAAGTTCATTCACGACAAAGACTGAAGCTCATTCAGACTCAAACTTTTTCCACAGGCCTCCATGACAAAGCCATACCGCTGCATTGCCTCATGGCCACTCGGCAACTCTGAAGCAAGTCATAAGCTGCTACAGCACTAGCTAGGCACATTCGATCCCTCCTGGGCCACTGTAAGCCGAGTTTGTGCAAAGCTCTACGGCTCTGGAACCATCTTCAACTCTTTATAACTCATGCTGCCAGGAATTCTCAAATCAACAGTTGTCCATCATACCCGTGTTTGGCTGCTTCCGACACTTTTGCGCTTCTCGCCCATTTTCCTGTGCCTGGGCATGAAATTCATCGATGGCAGCACGTACTGTCTCCAAGTACTGGAGCTTCGTGGTGAGGTGCCTGGGGCTTTATGTGCTCGAAGATGATCAGGGAAACAGGAGCATGAGATGCTTCATTCATGAGATCTCTTCCAGATTGTGACTGAGCAAACTGCATCACTTTGACTAAAGCACAAACGCTTCACCCGATGTTTCTTTAAAAACTTCAAGCCGGGGAGCTCTTCTCCATTCACCACCTTTCAAACACCGCACAGAACGAATCGCTCTCTGATGCAACCCTCCTCTGCCCATGATCCGCACTCAGACTCCATCCCACTAACATCTCGCCACTGCCTTTGTGATGCGCAAAACAGTGTCCAGCACGTGAGAGTGTGTTTTGACAGAAAGCTATCCTGGCCCTGGTGTAGGGCGTGTCATGCTTCCATGCCTTGAACTGCTTGGGAGACGTTCGGAGTTCGAGGTAGATGCAATTCTCTGCCTTGGCGGGCGAAATGCACACCCTTCAAAACAACGTGTTAAAATGTGTGCAATCACTTCTCACTTCCCTGTCTCACTAGCAGCTGTTCTAAAGGCTTGAAGCCGTGGCAAAAGCTTTGTTTGAATCATTGCAGGGCGGCAGGTTCTTGGGCTCATCAGCGATGCCCGTGCCACTCTGAGCCTCTGACTGCGAAAGAGTCCAAGACATGCAAGGTGCACTCCTGAAAGTCTCCACTGGTCTGGCTCTTTGTTTTGCCATGTGGAGATGGGACTTGTTCCTGTCCGGCAACCTCCTGATATCAACTGGTCACTCGGTCCTTCAGGGTTTCCAAATCCACCACCACACTGGCCACCTGCCGGAGCAAGGCTGTGCTGGGCAGTGACTTTTCTGCCACATCAATCGAAGGTACCTTCGCAAAGTAGCCAAAGCATTTCTGCAAGGCGTTTGACAGGTCCTTTGCGGCACAAGTTGCGCAAATGATGCACACGTGCAGCTGCAAAGAAAAAGGAAAAACTTGTATATAGTTAAAATGTCTTTCACCTCTCCCTCCCTCCCCCTCCCTCCCTCCCTCTCTCTCTCTCTCTGTGCACTCTTCATTCAACTTCCTTCATACACAGGCTACACAGGACAAGCTTTTGCTTCAAATACCTCCCCTGCCGGAACAGCCGGTCCGTCTGATGCCTTGGCATGCCCGTGTCGTTTGCAGCGTCTCAAGGTTCAGTGGCCAAGTAGCTCCGTGGAAGTTGAAGGGCTGAAAACTACCACCTTGGCCTCTTCTCTCCAAAAGCTCGATCCTCAAATGAAAACTGATGAGCGACACGAGCTGTTGGGCAAAGCCAGGGTTTTTTTACGACTATTCACGACTCATTTCCTCTTACAGCTGGCACAGGAAGCAGCAAGTCAATCGATTGTGAGGGAACCTGAGGTCCTGAATTGCAAATTCACTTAAACCAAAGCCGTTCTCGTATGAGCCGGGGTCAAAGTGCTCCGACCCAAAATCGGAAATGTTTACGATTATTCCATCGGGCCTCTCTGCACTTGTCCAAGTCATAACGAGGAGGTCCACTCTTCCGGCCTTTTGAAGTCGAGCTAGCATGGAGTCGAGCTAGCACATGGAAATGGAGCTAGCTGGCCGCAACTATCCAAGCCAATGAACAGCTCCAAGCCTCCAAGCTTTCTCGTTTCAAAACCGCCCAACATGTGGGCTCCCCTTGAAACATGCATCCAGGAAGCAATTTCTCCTGAGTGATTGAACCACTAAGATGTGCATGCAGCTCCACTTTTGGCAAAGCTCTCACCTCTTCCAACCTGGCCGATTGACCCTCGCCACCAATGAGGTATCCAAAAACAGGGAGAGAGTGAGAGAGACGAAAGCATGAGAAACACTCGGAAAACACTTGAGTGACCTTCTCACCAAAACGTAATCCTTGCTAGCCTGTAATGCAAGAAGTGCAATTCACAGCCAACGAGACGGGCCAGCACAAATAGTGCCAACACGGCGAACATACCAGAAAAGCAAGCTTGCTCTCAGCGTGCAAGTTGAGTCTCACATTGAAGTGCCAAAAGGCTTAAGTGAGCAAAACGCAAAACAGTTCCACCGTAGTTCCCAATACAAAATCTGGCTGGCACCATTGCAAATCATGAGACAAGTCCGCCACAAGCTACTAATCTTTTGGCACAGAAACGAGAGTGGACAACCAACATGATCTCCACATTGCGGCGACATGAGCGCGTCTTTGCCACTGAAGACAAAGATGTTTCCTTGTCACTGAAGTCTGACATGTTCGGACCATTTTTCAATGTTGCTGGTTGAAGCGAGTTACACACAAACTCCCCCTGTCATTCTCACCAGCTGTTTGTTTTCGAACCTCGGTCGCAGTTCGTGAAAGAAGCCCCCTATTGCAATGACTAGTTTTCAAGCCCGAGCCAAATGGAAATATATGGAACATGGAGTAGCATTGAGTAGCATTAAGGATATGTCAATTTGATTCAATGAGTCAATTGCGCAATGTCCATCAGTCTCTCAAATGGCGGAAGAGATGAGAGAAAGGACAGCTACCATATGCTCCGTTACGCGTGTTGGTGACATTCCTTTGGCTTTTCATGGCTCTTGTCGCTGTGTGCCTTGATGCACGAGGCAGTTTAGTGCTTTTTTATTGATAACTTGTGGCTCATAATCTGAACAACAATGCAAGTTCAGGGCACACACATTGGACTCCTGGCGTGACATCTCAGACACAAAAACATGACGAGATGATTCCAGCAAGAAGGCAAGAAAAAGGCGACCTGGTGTGCCCTAACACTTGCACCGTGAATCCTGCAACTGAGCTGTGTCCTGGCTTGTGCGAGGTCAACATTACCCAGACCCACAGCTCCTGGACACGAACTCTAGAAACAACCTGCTTGATCCTAGCTGATAAACGTTCAATGTCGTTATTTAGTTCATGCCCATATATGTACCAACGGCATCTAGGAATGCCAAGCTTATTCTCAGCAGAACATTGGACGAATTAATGCACTGATTTTTGCATTTAGCATAGGCAGCCGCTATGATCAATCGCGACCCATGGTGACATCATCCTCAAATGTGAGCCTATGGGGGGGTCCCAAAGCGATTCAGCGATTGACATTCATTCCTCATCAATGGTTATAAAGTTCTATATGCCTCAAACCCTCCTGAACCTTGTCAACAAATCATCACTTCTATTAGTTGTTTGCAGAATTTTGTAGTGTGCAGGGAGCCATCTTTAGGGTGCTATGACTTTAGGAGCTGACCTCATGGTGCCAACACGTGCCCACTCTGTGCAGGGAGCTGGCCCTAGTTGATTGTGCCATGGTCCTCTTTCAAAAGCAAAGTTTGATAGGCACCTTCTCTGGTGTGGGCAAAGCTACGAGGTGATCAAATCATGGCCTCAGCCCTCATGCTAGCCTCTACACCTGACTTCTAGGTAATTACCTGGATTTTGATGTCTGATTTCCGGGTCGCTGCGCGGTGCGTGCCAGCGTTCTTGGAGAGCTCTGATGCCCAGCCAAGGTACAGCCAAGGTACAGCAACCCATCACGTTATTTTTTTTTCACGAAATGGGGGGGCCCATGATTTGAGCAGGCCGGGCAGTCCTTCATTAAGGCATCAGGGCTCCTTTATATACACTCCAGCAAATCTGGCGTCTCTGGTGTCCCAAATCACGACACCGTCATCTCAAATACAGCAGGCCCTTTAGTCTCGAGCCGTGCCAAGTTCCGAGGCACTCACCAAGCTCCGCGGAGCGGCTGCAAAGCGAGGACTAAGAAGAAACATCAAAACCACACCATTTACTGTACATCTTTTCATGTAAGTGTACAGTACGAGGCTGTTCCTTAGATTCCATATCTTTGGCAAGTGCATGCTTTGTGGTGCCAAGTTTGGTGGTTTGGCCTTGCCTTGTAAAATCCAGTTGCCCAAATTGTGTCAGCATGAGTCCGTGTGGTTGTCTGCAGCTGTTCCTGTCGTGCAGCTATCCTACAGCATAGGCCAATTGCCATGGGGCCATCTTTAACAAGTGTTGTCCATTGGTGGGTTTTCCAGCGGATGGATTTCAGGAGATGGTGCAGTAGTGGTGCTAAACCATGCTTAAGCTGTCAGATTTGGACATTGCTGCTTGCATATGCCTCATCCTATGGACGTGCCGCTGCTTCGAAGCTGCTTCTTCTTAACCGCTTCGCCAGGCTTAGCTAGGCCACTCGTTGGCGGTGCACCATAGCGAGCTTCTCAAGTTTGCGAGTTCCAAATAAGATCTGAGATCGGGGATACAACAACTGCGTCTTGAACAATTAAACCTCTGCAACTAGGATCCGGGAGCGCTACATCCATTGAAAAGAACATCGCAAACCGCTCGCTTGCACTGGATTGCCATCTAAGTAGGGTTTATGAGACATCCTGCCTGGATTGTCTCTGATCCATACTGAAGTGATTAGCTGAAACCACAGAAAACATGTCCAGGAGACTCAAAACCTCTCGAAACCCGAATCCAGTATGTTGAATTGTTACTACTAGTAAGGCCAGGAGCCCCTAGTAGCTTCTTGCTCCTAGTAGTAAGGCACTTGTTTCTACTAGCTTCTTGTTACTACTAGTAAGGCACTTGTTACTAGAAGCGATGCACTTGTTCCTAGTAGCTTCTTTTCAAGTATTTCCTGCAGAGCCATTATTGTCATAAGATCTCCTTGTTTCCTGTTCACATTTCTGGACACCGGCTGAGCCTGAAGTGCTTTGCAATGCTTTTCACATCTCCAGGACTCCCGCCTTTTTTCCCACACGGAAGCAGGTTATCAATACTATATTCACACCAACATACACCAACATGTTTCGATATACGCCATAAAGACCATAGGCGATCCCAACTTATAGTTGAACAGAAGGTAAGGCATTCTCTGGAGTGCTAAAAGCAAGCAAGCTGCCGGGTGGAAAATGCACGAGGCCGTGCCCGAGTAGCCATCCCTCAATCGTCCACCCTTGGGTGCGAACCACGACATCGACTTGTCAAACTTGGCACCTGACCAAACCAACATGGTAAAGCAGGGGTTCTCTGAAGTGGCTTGCCCCTTTACAATGTGTTGATGAGTTGATCTCAGTCTTGTTTGCTTCCGACGGATTTGACAATTATCCAAACAAACAGAATCTCTGAAGATTTGTGAAGACTTCTTCTCTTCTTCTTTGATCTGGTCCCCGGCACTCTGATCAAGAGGTATGCATATAGTTGTCACCTAGTCCGTGGCCTAGAATGTCATCTGAACCTTCAGTGAGAAGCACATCTGAATGGAGGTTTGCTGCAAATCCCCTTTCGAAAGCACCAAGCGGTATTCATCTCGCTTGATTTGTTTCAATGGAAGGCTACACTGAAGAGTTCTGACAGTCTTAGAATGATTTAAAATGTATCAAGCCGTTGTCACATTGGCATTCTTGTGAGGTCCAACTCAGCTTGTGTGTGTAGAGTACGGTAGTTCGACAAAAGCTTGTCGTGGGGAAAACTTGCCATGTGTTCGCCAAAAAAGTAATGAAACAGTTTGGATTCAATGCATGGCCTAAGCAGCCAAGAACACCGGTCTTTGCTCTGTCGTGCTCCTGTTAGCAATGGACATGTGAATGCAAATTAATGTGAACGTGGGATGAGGAAGGAAAGCGTGGGCAAAATGCCTTCTGGGCATGTATTACCCTTACTCGGACAAAGAGGATGGGAACAACAGTTTGTTGAAGAAAAACGAACCATAATCTATAATTGATCATAATTGTATACAGTAAATTGAACCATTCGTTCGATGGGACACTGGTGGCCACTGTTTGCTAACAAGCTGATGGGTGAGCTACGGAACAGCAAAGTCACCTCCATGGATGCTTCCTTTCTATGGTGCAGACCCAAAACCTTCGTTTTGTCACTGCAGTTTGGACATCCGCTGGCGCTCTGGGGTGCTGGCTCTGGCTTTGCCTGTTTCAGAGGACCCGCAAAATGGGAAGGAAGATTTTGAGACAAATGAACACATCTTAGACTGAAATAGAGATGCACGCTCCATACACTTTGAAACTCAATCTTTGCGCATGACGGTCTCCAAAGAGGGTCCTCGCGAGCCACTTATATATTCTTACCTATATGACTAGCCGTTACTTTTGCAGAAGGCCAAACAACCGCATCTCATCAAGTTCCAGGTTTGGCTAATTCCTGCTTTGGAAGTCTGAGTCAACTCCCACGTACAGGAGCAAGAATACTTCCCATGTGTCTTGTTCGCAACCTTGGGCATGTGTCATTGTACATTCAGGACTTGTGACTTGAGTTAAACAACCGTGCCATAAAACTGAAGTTATCAAACGTTATCAACAAAATTGACTGACTGAGAAATGACATGTTATGACATGCAATCTGTCCTCTCTCTCTCCCTCTGCTGAGGTAAATGTCCCTTTCACCTGTCTCTGAAAATGGCCATGGCAATGCCATGGCATTCTCAGAACACATCAGGGTTCAATCTGAGGACCCAAAAAATCTTCACCATTGAGTCGAGGCCTGCGGCAATCGTGGCGGCAAAGCGCCGCCCATAGGCCCTGGAGGCACCCTGAGCAAACGTGAGATGGACAAGATTGGCTTACACCACAAATGCGTCGTTGTTGATGTTGTGAATTGCAAAACTTGAGTTTGTTCGATCAAAATCGATCTACGACTAGAAAGTCTCTCTCATTTCTCATTTGTTGACATGTGGCGTCTGTTCTTTACTGTTCCGGAGTGAAAACTCGAAAAACACTCTGAACACCCAGCCATTCTGGCACCCCATCTAGCGCATCAAAGGCGTTTGCCGTTCACCCAGCGACCAGGGCTACAGCGGGCCAGGCTGACGAGGCACTGCTGCCTTGGCAGCTTGCCATCCAGGCAACTCTGGGACAACTCAATGAGATTTGGAAACAGGACCACAAGCCTATGGTTTCAACTATAGACCATCCGCACTCCGCACCGTGGGCAATTTTGGCTAGCAGGCTTCCTTTAGTGGTGCAAGAAAACTCTGGTCGTGTCTTGGAGTTACAGTAAGATATATAGGAAGAACACCTGCCGCTGGAATTTCTCTCTTGAACAAGTCTCTTTCTGGACTCTAGTCTTAGATGTACCACCTGCAATGTAACAATGTGCTACGCTTATGAACCTCTAGAAGAAAACAGTTGCTTGTCCTACCGCCAACTGGCTACGTTTCAGGCATGGGGCACCACCTGCAACGGGAAAAGGATGTAACAGGGACATGAATAGACTAGACTATATAATTATACCAAACCACCAAACCCAATC